AAAGGGGTAAAATCTGAGGACCAATAACACCTGCTCTCAAGAGTTAATATAAAGTTACAGTAATCAAAACAGTGTGGTATTGGCAAAAGAAGAGACAAATAGATCAATGGAATAGAATAGAGAACCTAGAAGTCCACCCACACAAATATGGTCAACTGTTTTATGCCAAAGAGGAAAGGTAATACAAAGGGGAACACAGGTAGTCTTTTCAATAAATGGTGCTGGAATAATTGCACATCCACATGCAAAAAAAAAAACAAAAAAAAAAAAACAAAAAAAAAAACTGGACACAAACCTTGTGTCCATGACAAAAATTAACTAAAAATGGATCAAAGACCTAAATGTAAAACGCAAAACTATAAAGCTCCTAGAAAATGACACAGGAGAAAATCTAGATGAACTTGGATTTGGCAATGACTTTTGAAATAAGACACCAAAGGCATGATCCATGGAAAAAAGCATTAACAAGCTGTCCTCCGTTAAAATTTAAAAACTTCTCTCTGAAAGGTATTATCAAAAGAATGAAAAGACAAGCCATAGACTGGTATAAAATATTGCAAAAGACATATATGATAAAAGACTACCATATATGATATTTTAATCTATATTTTTAACAATATAATTTTTATCTTTTTAAGACTAAAATAGGCAAAGAACTCTTAAAACTCAATGATAAAAAGCAAACAACCCAATTTAAAAATGGGCCAAAGATCTTAGCAGACATCTCACTGTAGAAAATAAACAGATGGCAAATAAGGATATGAAAATAGTCTCAACATCATATGTCATCAGGGAAATGCAAATTTTGCAATATTCATACAACCAAATTTTAGAGAAATTATACAGAATGGTGGGAAATAGAAAGGGAATATTTCTAAAAATGTTATTTCATACATTTCATACTAGAAATAGGAGATAATACTTACATGATAAATGAATAATGTCAATGAGCATGATGTTTACAAAACAAAAGTAAATACTTAAAAGTAACAGTTATAAAAAATGAAAGTGGTTGCCTTTCAATAGGGTACTATGAAATGGAAAGGATTGTGGACAAGAAATGCTATTTTTGGCTATAACTTTATGGTAAATGTAATTATTAAAAATATATGTAGCTAATTGATTTTCTAAATAATAAATAATATAGAAAGCACATAAATAAATGTATGAAGTAATAAAATATTTTACTTGTCATTCAGACAATAGGTTCAAATGATCTTTAGAAATCTCAAACATAAATTAAAAGAGAAAATACCAAAAAAGTAAATAAATTTTAAAAAAGAAAAAAAAACAGAACTGACCCTCTAGAGAAACAAAAAATAAAATAAAAAAGAGAGAGAGAAATTAGAGTTCAGTGTTACCAGTTGGATTGTGCCCACTCCCCTAAACTCATGCTTATGGCCTAACCCCCAGTACCTCAGAATGTGACTTCATGTGGATATAGGATCATTTCAGATGTAACTACTTAATGAGGTCATTAAAGTGGGCTCTAGGCCAATACAACTGGGGTCCTTATTTTTTAAAAAAAGGAAATTTGGATACAGCTTGGCACCCGGGGAAGTTGCCATGTGAAATGAAAGCAGAGATTAGGGTGATCCTTCTACAAGCCACAGAATGCCAAATATTACCAGCACACCATCAGAGGCATGCAATGGATTCTTCTTCACAAAAAGCCCTTTGAAAGAACCTTACTTACACCGGGATCTTAGAATTTTGGCCTCTAGAACTGTGAGAAAATAAGTTTCTTCTTAAGCTCCCCTATTTGTGATACTCTGTTATGGCAGTCCTAGCAAACTAATATGGTTACTGTATTAGAAAGAGGAACTAAAGATGGTTCAGATGTCTGTTAAATCCAGCATAATTCTCTGCCAGTATTCTTGAAATTATGGAAGAAAAATCAACTAAAGATACCATCCCGTATATTATAAATATTTTGTATAAAAATATTTATACAATTGTTAATTTCTCTTAAGAAATCAGTATTAGGAAAGAAAAGATTGTCTTTTTTGGGGCAATGGTATTCTTCATTCTCTTAGATAATGATAGCTGTGTTCCCATTGTGTCTCCATTATTACCAACAAGTCAGTTCTGAATTGAGTATCCAAGTGAGGCACTTACTCATGTCTTGGTTTCCTGGCTCACTAGCTATCATCTCCATTTTTTTGGCTCTTATTTTTTACCCTTGTTTTAATGGTATATGTTTGCTTTATTATGACGAGACTCTTTTTTTGGCAGTAGTTAGGATATAAATAATTAGTAAATAAATGATCGCTTCTGACACCATAGCTCTAATGGCCAACAAACTCAACTTACATCAATGCTTTTTAAAAACTTGTCTCTGCAGCTATGGTTACTAACTGTCCTGGTGTGCTGGGACTAAGGGACTTCCAAGGACAACTGACTTTCATTGCAAAATGCATGACAGTCCTGGGCATAACGGCATAGTTACCTATCTGAATCACTTCTATGTCTAATAGTTCACAAGCATGTTTTCACTGTCACTGCTTTGGGCTCTAGTCCCTGTTTGTAATTATGATTACCCCCTGTAAACCCATGCATAGTTGATTATTGAATCATCTCGCTTTGTATGATAAACAATTTTGCTTCAACCGATGAGGAGCAATAATGCAAATAACCAGGTTCTAAGTCTCAGAAAATCCTCCTTACCATTGTTTCTCATGGAATCTCATAGTTGGTCTTGACTTCCTGTGAGAGAGGGAGGTTTACCGAGACCTTGAGCTATGTATATTAGATATCACCAGGAATTAGGGAACTGGATTGTGTTCTTGCTGGGGTGTGCAAGCCTGGCTGCCCCCACGGTTTAGTCTCTTGTCGGTTGCCTTTTTGAAAGCTTTTCTTTTTTCTCTTAGGCCCTGGGGATTTATCCAGTTTGCTTTGGTAACCAAACATTAAATGATCATGATTCTGAGAAAAATAACATAAAAAACATTCCTTTCTCATGATTTCCCCTGCAGGGCTCCCCATGGACCTGATTCTTCTGTTACCATTGGATAAAATAAATAGGAGATCTCCTACTTTTGTGGTTATTCCAGATAATAAAAAGTTATCCAAAGTCACTATAGTTTCCAAAGAATTCTCTGTTCAGAAATGAATATGTCTGACATTGTAATAAAAAATCCAAGTTGTATTCAAAATTAAACTTCTTCTTTCCTGTAGGGAAAAGTTGTATGCTTCGTGTTTCACTTTGGTCCTTACTAACTAACCCCATCCGTGTCTCACAACTATTATCTGAGATCTCAGACCCCACCATGCTTGGAGTATAACAATGGAGAGGGCATAAGGGAGCAGGAGAGATGTCTAGGTACTAACAGAGTTTGGTGGCTAATGAAATTGAGAGGTGTCTCAAGACACTTTTCTGGGGTTTTCAGAGTCCCAATTGCATTAAATATCTCATCTGTAGGTACATGATTTAGTTGGTGTCTCTTCCATATCATATTTTAACACTCCCTCCCTCATGCCCTAAGAATAGGTGATGGTCAAGATTCAGCCATTACCCCCCTACCCACCGGTCTTCTTGGAAATCCTCGGAAGAAAACCCATGTTAGCTCTCTCTCATGACAGCTCACATCTGCTACCAAGAACTATTACTTTAGATCCATGATATGTAGCAGTGCACTTTCCTTTCACATATTGCCTAATTTTTGTTTGACCACTTAGCAGGTAACTCTAGCCACAGGCTCTATTTTGAGATTGGTCAGGCCTGAGTCAGACACTAGCTGCTGTGTTTCCTAGGTTCCAAAGATACTTTGAAGCTTTTCTCAACAGGCTTGCAAAAAAAGAGAGATCACCCGCACCCCACCCAACCACCACCATGGAGATGATGACACTCGTAGCACACCTTTTTCCAAAGAAGTTCCACTTGTAATCTCCAAATTCCCTGACCATTTCAACTCAACCCTTCCATATGTTCAATGTGAGCGTGTGGCTCCATGTCACAAACGATGACTTAAGACATTATCTATACAGGGTCTGCCTAGTCCATCAGAACTTCACTGTGGAGTGAGTAGTTGGCACCTATTGTGGCCGTAACTATCACTGAAACTGATATAGTGCAATTTCCCATAACTGAACTTTTTTTCTTAGAATTTATCTTTCTTCATGACTTGCTGAATAATAAAATGCTTTGATACATTTCCTTTAGCCGTTCTTTCCCCAGAAGACAACATTTGCCCATGTGCCATTGATAGCTCCACGTTGGCATAGGTGATTGCAAGCTCTCTGAGTGCAAAACTCTACTTTTATTCCATTTTATTCCATTTATAGCTGTGTATCACCTAACATGTTTAGAACTTCATCTAAATAGTTGATTTATTATCTCTACCCTGCAAGAATTTGATAATAATATTTCCTAAAAAATATTTACTTCTTAATTCTTAAGAAATATTATGACCGATTTCACAAAAATTGGTAAGATTGGAGAGACACTAATTTGCCCAAATAATAGGAAGGGAGTAAAAGCAAGTAATCTTATGTTTTCTTAAGTAAGGGTCTTATAGATTCAAGCATTAGCCACAATATTATGTTAAATGTGGCAGAATTGAAGTATAGATTTAAGATTTAAAATGTGTGAAAAGTAAACATTTTGAGAGAAAAAATAAAGCAGATTTAGAATAGCATGAACTTCACTTGATAAAAATTTAAATCATTCTCTTTGTAATATATGCAAGTCTTGAAAGGTAAAGACTCTTCAGTGTTATAATGAATATAAATCATTAGTAATATAAATCACTAGGAATTTCTCTAATAAAATAATTTGATCTATATTATGATAGTCAGGAAAAACCTTCATAAATAGGATGAATCCACAGATGCATAATTACTTTAGCTGTGTCCTTGCTTTCTGTAAAATACAGTATGGGGGAGGAAAACAAACAAACAAACCCACATTTCCAAATGGGCAAGTCAAAGCAAGTCAATCCCAAGTAAGCTGACTAACATTTATAAAGTAATTCTCATCTTTATAAATTGCCTTCTTGCAGGAAACAGACCTTATCCTGACTTTTAATATATCAATGCACCGATCTTGGTGGATGGAGAATGGACCAGGATGTACGGTGACGTCAGTGACACCGGCCCCAGACTGGGCCCCAGAAGACCATCGCTACATCACGGTCTCAGGGTGTTTGCTGGAGTACCAGTACATAGAAGTGGCTCATAGTTCCCTCCAGATTGTCCTCGCAGTAAGTGTTGACAGCCAACCGCTCCTTCTAGTGCCTCTGGGGTTGTTTTATTTCTGTGCAAACTGAGTGCACACAAATGGAATCTGTGGATAAAGTGTGGCCTTTTTGCTTTTTCCTCATTAATGCGACTTTTAACAGGAAATTGTCAGGTTAAACCAAAGCATCCCCTGGACTTAATGTGCTGATTTTCTTCAGCAATTAGTAAATACCCTTGTTATCATCAGCATTTTACCTAGGAAATCCAATCAGTCAAGATATGATTACTTGACTTTTGGTAGACTTTTCCAGGGATTCTGAAGGGATGATCAGCGATTTTTTCATAACATTCTACAATACCTAAAATTATAAGATTTCAATAATTGTTTTCTCTTCTAGTGCTTCTTTTGGCTGTGCTGCTAGCCCTGGGATTTCTCTTTTCCATTTGCCCTATCTCCTTCTTCCTTCGTAGATTTCTCCCAGGCACCATCCATCACCTTTAATCTCCCACTTTTTTTCCAGAAAAAAATTCACATTTTCTACAGGTTCTACTTCTAAGATATTCATGCCTCCATGTTTCATAGTACTGTGCCAATAAAAAACCATCCTTCTACCAGGAGGCAGTAGGACTTACAAATAACTTATGTGTACAACATATGCCTATTTTATATAAAATACATGATTTAACATTGTATTACTATGACAAAGAGATAAATTAAAACACCTCTTTCTCAAGAAGGCCAACTGCATAATATCATGAGATTTATAAACCTAGGGCAATTTTATGACACATGAATCCATTTATTCATTACAGATCTTAAATGTAGAACTGCATATATTTTTCTTAGATTCATGCGGATGTGCAATTGATGTGCATAGTATTAAAATTGTTAGCAACAAATGATGCAAGTAGAATCTGCTTTTTACCTCTTTAGTTAATTATTTTGGAAATGATATTGACTCACAGTTCTTGGATAACAATAAATAATAGTTTCTGGGTAGAGTGGCATACAATTCAGAGAAACCAAATTCTTCTGGCATTAAAAAACTATGTGAGTGTGTGGGTGTTAGATGATATAACTAATATATCCTTGTTATATTTTTAATGGAGTGTGTGTGTGTGTGCGTTGTGATAGACTAAGGAAGCTAAGTATGCTATGTTAGTAAACACTTCCAAATTCTCTGTAAATAAAAGCCATAAAGATTTCTTCTTGTGTGTCAGCAGGAGGCTCCATGGATCACTGTCACTAAGGAAACAAGGCTAGTTGAGTAGCCAGTATCTCCATCATCATGTGTTGCCGTGCTGTGCCGTGCCAGAGAGCAATAATAGCTGCGGAGGGTCTACATAGGCAGACACATGCTTCTGCTTGGAAGGAGAGGCTCATTGTTCACAGTTCATTGTGCAGAATTGGTCACACAGTCCCACCCAATCACAGAATGGACAGGAAAGAGGAAGGGCTGTTTATTTGGAAATCAGGATAAATGACGTCCAGAACATTGGAATTATGTTCTTTGCTAAAGCACTAAGTAATAACCCTTGAATACGTTCCATCATAGACACTCCTTCCAATTAACAAACTCTTCTGTAATAGTTTTAAATCTAAAAGTGCTTATTTTACTTATCCTGAAGTAGAAATAAGTTAGATTTGATAGGATGGAAGTAGCCATTTCATTCTTTAAAATCCATTTAAATCAAGTAACCATTATCACATGAGAAAAGTGAAATATATCTGTGATTTGGGGTCAGATAAAATATCTTTATATATGTGTTAAAAGGAGGTTTTAAACAAAATGTTCCTTCTGTAGAACTGCCTATCTTTACTGGACCCACAAAATTTGGGAAAACTTCCACCTATATTTTAAGGATGAAGTGAAGATACAGTTTATGTGCATGGATATTTATGTATGACTATTTAGAGAGTTATTTGAATTAGTTTGTGTGTGTGTATGTGTGTGTAAACAAGATTCACAGATTTATTAAATGCCACATAAAATGCTGACACATAGGTAATGTGCTAAAAAAAATACATTTGGACATGGGGGCATATGTTGAAGTTGACACACATACCCAAAGAAAAAATAATTTTCCTTAAGTAAAAACCATCTGTAACAGCAAGGTGGCTAGAGTGCAAAGAAGATGGATGGGTTATCCCTAAGAACAGATGTGACCAATATTTCATGCTACTGGCTCTTGTTTCTCCTGTCTGCATTCCCCCCAGTGGAGTGAAGGAATAGTTTGAGTAAACCACCCTAGGATGTGACATCTCTACCTCGACCCTTTCCACCTGTTCTTCTTTCCAGGGGTGCACTACTTTTGCAGTGTTGGCTGTGGAACACCAGAGTTAGCAACTGCACAGCTAAGCCATTACTTGGAGAAGTTTCAACACATTTTCTACTTTTGAGCTTGCTATTGTCTAGCCAGCCTTGGGTTGAATGCATCTGCTATACAGAAAACTTAGCAAATTTGAACTTGAGTTTTATAATGCAAACGAAAAAGGGCTTATCTTGAACAACTTGCTCTGCAAACAACATTTCCTATCTTCATTCTGATCACTGATGTAATGATTAATTGATGAAATAGTGTCTTAAATCTCTGTCCCTCCCCTTTTCTGTTACCCAGATCATCTCCTTGACAATCAAATGTCCCATTAAATCAGTCTACTGTAAACTTCCTGAGTGCTTGTCTCCTTCTGGCATCTAGAGAAGCAAAGGTGTCAGGACCTCTGACCTTGAGGATGTCGCAGTCAAATATACAGCAAAGTTCTCCAGAGTACAAACCAGGTGCAAACAGGCACATTTGGGGGATATGGTAGACAAAGAATATGGCTTATGCAGTTTAAGGCACAATCTTGACTTCTTAGCTCCATGCAGTTTTGTAAAGTCAGCTGAACTCTTTCTCTTCTCACTGTTTTCATCCAAGTCTTTGAAACTGCCCTCTCTTCCAGGATATCTGACTTAGATCTGCTTTCATAAACTGCTGCTTTCTCAGCCACTGCTCTTGATTAACTCCAAATCTCTCCAGCTCTTTTTCTCCACCCTCAGCCAGCCTTTCTGTCACAGATTCCTGAACCCTGGCAAGCCTGTCACCCTGTTGTTCGGTTTTCTGCCAATCAACTCCTGGCTGATTTTGAAATTAGCATTCACAAAGCCCACATTTGCATCACACATACATAAGATATCTCCAATCTACAGCCAAAGGAAGACAAGTATAATATCCATATAATTGGGACGAGGGGCTATTAATCACACAGCTTCCAGCCGTGCAGAAAAGACTGCCAGAACACCATAATGATGAGCCAGGTGTGATATTTTGAGCTTTCTCCTTCTCCAGCCATATTTTCTTCTAGTTAGTATCAGATAGCACATTCAAAAGGAATACAGGTGTGCACAGTTTTAATAAAACCAAAAATAAAAAAATCCACATTTTCAAAATAGATAAAATAAATGTATGTGGGGAGAGCCAAGGAAGAGATCAACTACGGAGATATTATTGTTCACGTTACAAAAAAATTAATCGGATTCCTTCAGACAATGTGTGATTGGAACAGTGTGGATTATAAAATATGTTCACATGAATTAAATCTTTTGATTGTGTAACAGTCCTCTGAGGGCAGCAGAATAGGTTGAAAGCTCTTCCTAAGATATTTTAGCTAATAAATAGGGACAATGAACATGCTCTCATACCAAGGTTGGGAAATAGTCTTCAACCTGAATGCCAGCAGCAGCTGATGTGTAATGGATTCCCAAAGTCTAAAAAGTCAGGGTTCTTCAGCAGCAAAGGATGCCATGATTGATTAACTATGTCTGCCACGGGTGAGGGGAATGAAGAGGGATGTGTCTCACATTTATTATGCACATATTAAACTTTACTTCCTGTGATTGCCTGGGCGCGGTGGCTCGCGCCTGTAATCCCAGCACTTTGGGAGGCCGAGACGGGTGGATCACGAGGTCAGGAGATCGAGACCATCCTGGGTAGCACCGTGAAACCCCGTCTCTACTAAAAATATAAAAACTTAGCCGGAACATGGTGGCGGGCGCCTGTAGTCCCAGCTGCTCGGGAGGCTGAGGCAGAAGAATGGCGTGAACCCAGGAGGCGGAGCTTGCAGTGAGCAGGGATCGCGCCACAGCACTCCAGCCTGGGCGACAGAGCGAGATTCTGTCTCAAAAACAAAAAACAAAAACCAAAAAACTTCCTGTGATAAAAACAATGAAAAGGGAGTGTGTTTTACAAACAAATGTGCAGAAAGAATAATTTTTTAAAAACAATTTAAGAGGAAACATGTATTGCAGTAGCTGACCTAGCGATGTATGTTCAAATATGTTAATATTCCAAAAATCATCTGGGTGGGGGCCTTAATATCTCTTTACCACATCCAGAGAATCAGTATTTCTAAATTTAATATGAACTTCAAACGAATTGCTTGTTTTGGTGTTTATTTCCTCTACTTTATTTCCTTTACTTCTGACACACTTTAAGTTCATGGCAAGTTGACTATGATTTTTTTCTTTAGGCAACTGGCAGAAGGTATTGGTAAAAAACATATATGTATATTTATTTTATACACACACACACACACACACACGCACACACACGCTGTTTTCCCACAGCCATTAGTGTTGGCTTAGTAACAGTTAGAGCAGCGAAGCCATGGATGACGTTAGAAAACGTTTTAATACCTGTTGCCTGGTTCATAGCTAAATATAGTTTAAAGTCAAGTTCTCCTTCAGTTATATCTATTTCCTATTCAGAAAACTCTCTACTTTGTAGAGTTCATGCAATGGTAAAACTTACTTTTCAACAGATTGAAGAAAAAAATGTAGATAAAATATATACATTGGGGTCAATAAAGTCACAGATGTGTTTAGTTATGTTGTTAATAATTTATGTTTGCCATTTGGCTGGCTCAGACTTACTGAGGGATACCATTAGTGAAGAAATTTTCCAAACTTTGAAACTCTTTATCCAAGTGGACTTGAGGTTGTGTTGGGAATGGCACATGGGTGTTTCTTTGGATATAGCTGAT